TGTTAGAGCATCAGAGAAATATAAGAAAAGAGCAGCCATGCACAGCGCTGGCGACGTACGTCTTAGCCGACCCACAAGAGGTCAAAGCGGAGTGGGACCAAGCTAAATTGGTACAAATAGTACGCGACAGAAAGCACCTCAGATACGCCGAAGCCTGGCATATCTGCAAAACAAGCCAAAAAGGTTTAGCTATCAACTTCCGGGATGCAAGCAAAATATCGGCAGCATGGCGAACATGCATAGCATAGCGGCAACTCTCTTGACTCTTGTTTCTATGTGCACTTTATTGTATTTTAATGTATTTACGGGCATTATTTTAACACTTTATTGTGTTTTAATGTATTTATTGGTATTATGTTAACTATTTATAGCCAATATGTAGAGATGGCGCTTATACGATAGAATATCTTTTTAAAAACGTTCCAAAAATAACGCTTGTATCGGTAACGCAAATTTTTAATTCGAAGTTCGATTTTTCAGTTTTTCTTGATAAAGGCCATTGAATATGGTCGAAAACGTTTGAATTTATCTATTAAATTACGGCTGCATATGTAAAGGTTTGTTTGAGTGTATTTAGTTAAGAAATGCAGTCTCTGACGAGTTATATTCATTTGTTGTATGCACAAATCTTTTATTTTTTCAACAGCCACAATTGGTAACTAGAATTCTCATCAGTTAATATTAATTATCTTGTTGTTCTACATATTATCTAATCTCAAAAATAATTTATTTTGTTTACTATATTTTACAAATGCTTAATGACATAAATTACGTATGATAATTTTTATTATAATTTGTTGCTTGTTATTTTAAAAAATATTTTGTGAATTTAATCAAATGACAAGTAAAACGGCAAAGCCATTTTTGGGACAAGAATATGTCTCGAAGAGTGCAAGCAACACATGCACAAATCTCGCACTCACGCCTGTTTGTAGAAACAGTCTCAGCATTTTGTATTTTATTTTGACCTGGTTCTCGGTCCCCTGACTAACTAACTACAAGTCTGGTTTATTTTATGTGCACATGATTTGGGCACCAAATACTCTGTGCCAAATTGCAACTCCTGACATGTACTCCTCCATAGCTCTAAGGTATGCAGCCGTTGACAGCAGTGCGATTTTAGAGATGAGACATAGTCTCAACAATAAAGCCAGATAATTGACAATATATTAATAATCACTTAAATAATTTGAGCTTGGTTTTCTATATAATTTTCTGAATGTACTCATTAGATTTGAAAAGTTTGAGTAAATTTGAGCAAAGCAAAGTATCAATTTTTATTGTTCACCTTTTTTTCTTTCTCATTTTCAGAAATATTTTAAAATTTTTTAGATAAAATTGTAAGTGTATTTATTATTCTAAACTTACTGTTTTGGTATAACTGGAGTAGAAGATCCACCAGGTATAACTCCAAGCAAATTATCCCATCCACCAATAACTCCTCCAGAATGCCGTTCGATAAGTTCACGCAACGGAATTGACATTTCTTCTTCGACGGTACAAGGATATTTAACATGACCGGATATATTGAATAACTGAAATAAAATAAAATAGATATATAATGGATATTTTAACTTGGATTACTCCAATCTCTCAAATGATCAGAACATACTAAGAATTTAACATTTAATTCAAGGGTAAGGGATTATGTAAAATATTAAAGAAATCCAATTGAATAAAAAAAACAAATAATAATATAACAAGAATAATTTCATCAGCTGCTGTTCATTATAGTTAAAATTAAATTTCACTAAAGTAATTATTACTACTACTATACCAACTTTTCCAAAAAGTTTGCTAATTATTCTTTTACTTCTCTTAAAACAAATTTAAAGAAGAAAAAATACTATTTTCTCCATTTTCAGTATCTTCTAGGATGTTTTACTTTTTCAAGGAAAGGTCTTCCAGCACTTCTTTTATTCCTAAACTCTTGTATTCTGAGAACAATTTTCCTGACTGCGCGGAAATTACAAAAGCAATTCTTTGTAGATGGGCATCTTTCTGTTTTTAAACAGATCTTCAAATCAAACATCCAGAATTCTTAATAGATATCTAAAATTTTTAATACAGATTTGAGAAGATATCATTCTTCATGAACATTCCAATGTCTATATATTTAACAATCCACAAAACCTTTTTATAATGGTGTTGTGTCCGTAACAAACTTCACTGTTTTTGACCTCCACCAAGGTCTTCTTCAGGTGGTGACTAAACGGTGTCTCCTCTTGACCGTTGTAACGATGACGCCCGAGATGTAAACAATGCGCGTATCGCATTTCACCCCTCTGCTTGTCCCAGTTTGAATTCTTTGAATAAGTATCTGCACGCCTGCGTGATCATCTCTCTGTCTTTAAAGTTGATGCAGGTGCCCACCAACGTTGGCTTTATAAATCTCCCAGGTCTCCAGGTGACAGATGTGATCAATACAAAATGCCTGTCTAATTACTTTGGTGTTTTGGAAGTCCGCCCAAATTTCAGGGTTGGTAACGTAGGCTGACAAGGTGGTGGTGTGCCTGTTATTTTTAATATCCGATTGATGTTCACATAACCGTTTTTGTGTTGAGCGGATGGTGGAGCCAATGTAAACCAAGTCTCTATGGAATCTATCGTCCCTGATGGGAATGGAATATACCCCTGGGGCCCTGTTGAGATCTATCAGGTCCTTGGCATTACGCAGCAGGTCGTAAATAGTGCCGGTTCTCCTGTATGCGATCTTCGTGCGATTACGGCAAGCAATCTCCCTGTATAGGGGGTCTAAATGTTGGTTGAACCGCACGACTGCGCGTCTATCGTTCTTAATGGGTTGGTGGCCACCGTCCGGCATAGGCAGGGGGTTACCACTGCAGTGTGGGGGATGGTTGGCACAGGCACGGGCTAAACCATGAATCATGCATTTACTGTAGCCATGCTCAACCGCAATTTTTTCTATGCAGCGGAGCGCTAACCGCGTGTCACAAGTGTTTTTTCTTTTTGTTTCCATACTTATGTAGTTACCATTTTTGTGTTTAGTAAATGTTTTCATTTTGATTCCTGAGCATTTGTGCCCATCATTAGTCTGATAAGCCCTCACTATTATCTGTCTCACAGTTGTTGATAATTTAATTAATATGATATGTGATAGTTGCAGTAGAATGGAAAAATGGATGTTCTCTCTGATCACTCGAACTTTGAATCTTTTGCTTAATTTATTACCTATGTTGTCCTTGTTAACCTATGTTCCTGTCTATAGAAAAGCTGTTATTAAAATGGAGGCAAAAAACTAAGGTCTTAATACATGTAAAAAGTTTTTTATATTTCATTTTGTTGGTTATCTCAACAGTTACTTTTTATATCTTTTGATGATTCAGATCATTAAACTTTATCTGGTTAACTCAAGTCATCTTCCAAATTTTGAAAACTTTAAGTTAACCTATTTCAAATTTACAAGTTTAACTATATCTTATCCAACAAGTAAGTATCCACTATATACAGTATATAATTTCAATTAACCAAATTATTATGAAATAATACAAAATAGCTGAATCTATTAAATCTAATACAGTGAAAACTGCTTAGGCGACCACCTGCATTCGACGGGCACCTGTCAAAACGGGCAAAAATTTCTGGCACCGAATAGTTTATCCATAGAGTCTTCGTATAAGTTACCTGTATTAAACGACCACCTGTGTAACGCGACCGCGGGCATCGATTTTTGGTCCGAAACAACATACAACACCTGTAATAAGTGACCACTTTCGCGAGTGTATCTGGTCTAAACTATTGTTCGAACCCATCTCAACAACGTTTCCCCCTCCAAATATAATGAATTAGTGTAAACTCTCGCTTGAACTCATCCTGGGCACTTCTCCCACCCTTGAAATTAGGTGCAGGTGTTAATAAATTAGACTAGCAAGAAAGGAAATTCATTTCAGTTTGTTGGAAAATGTCGGAAAAACGAAAGAAATGCAAAGTGTTGGCATTAGAAGATCGTGTTAAAATTATCACAGAAAGTGAAAATGGTTTATCACAACGGCAATTAGTGGCGAAGTTTAACTGGAAAAACGAAATTTATTTTACAGTACACCTACAGTATTTTCCTTAGGGGTTTAAAATATTGTACACAATACAATTAATCGATTGACCTCATCGTTTGATAAAATTTATTTTATTTATTTATTTATTTATTTTTGAAGCTTATATACAGTATTGTACATGTGCGATAAATAGTTTCTCTATCAACCTACCTTATTTCCACGATATTTTTAGAAAAATAATATCCAAATAATTTTCGCACGCAAAATATTCAAAAAGCAATAAACGCATTAATTAATTAATGCAAAAATCAGTTTTACAGGCAACCTTCCTTTTTCGAATGTAATGAAATCGTATTATGAGAAAAAATAATAAAATCGTTTTATTATTAATTAATAATTTTCTTGTTGTACTTAAGAAAATATTAAATATAAAAAATACAGTATTTTTAAAGTTAAACTAACGAAAACCAAAACCAATGTGTTGTAGAGATAGGATGCGCTTGTATATCGATGACGTAATACACGTAACTGAGGAGCGAACGAAAAGAATCGAGTTGAATTAATTAAGTCGAAAAAAAAGAAAGTGTGCATTATAATCGAGAATATGCGATATTGTATTAATCTTTGAAATATTGGTATTAAATCTGTCTTACAAAATCACGACGACTCCCGTAAATCGAGTTATCCGATAAGAATAAAATACAATACTAATATAGTCCTATCGCTGAAAAAATTCGCTTCTTTTTGTTCACCTCGAGTTTTGCTTTTAGTAGAAATGGCTAAAAAGTGCGCAAAATACATACAGAAATACGGTATTACGACACCATCTGTATTGGACGACCACCTGTCTAAAAGACCACTTTTTCAAGGAACCGTGGGTGGTCTCCATAGACAGGTTTTACTGTATATAAAATTTGGACTTATATGTTTATAAATCAATAAAGATAAAATTCTGTTTTCTATTAAAATAAAGTCAAAATATTCTCTTAATATTGATTCTGAATGAATTAAAATGGTCTATATATCTTATATTTTTTCATCGTCAATAAATTCAATATATTGTTACAAATCTTATTACTAATATAAACTTACAACAATCATATTATTTTATCAAATTTCATCAGAATTCTGATACTTAACAACAATATTCACAGAAATGACTAATTTAAGAATGCACCACCATATATGTAAAAAGTATCGCAATTTAATTCTTCCATTATCTATTTTAGGACAATTTTTTTATGCTTCATAAAAATTCATAAAAAATTGCTATTCCATTGATAAAGTCATTTATATAAACTATAAATCTAGATGATTAAGTAAAAAATAGTAAATTAGATTACAATATATATAGCGGTAATGTAGCTTTAAGCATTGATTTGCTTAATTTATTAAAGCTGTTTTCAATAAATTAGGAAAAATAATCAGTTACATTTAAATTTTAAGATAATAATTCTGGTAAAATAAAAGCTTACATTTTGGGAATACAGTAGAGCATCAATTATCCGAATCAATTGGGGACTGGGGTTGTTAGGAAAATTGATTTTTTAGATAACCGATTCCGATTATCTACAAAAAAATACATTATTAATAAGTATATTAATATATCCCATGTTTAAATTTTTCTCTGTTGCGTATCGCTTCATGTTGAAATTTTGTCGACGTTAAGACTAACAAAAATTTTTATAATAATAATTGTGGCTATTGTATCATTAAAAATTATTTCTTTATTTTGTACAAATAAAATAAATACATTGAAAAATATAAAAACAAAAAAATTATACTTTAGAAGTTAATCTAGTATCAAAAATGTTTGATTCAGCACGACATAGTCCGACTGGAACGCTTTCGGTTAACCGACATTTTGGTTGATTGGCATTCAGATAATCAACGCTCTACTGTATTTAGAAAAATCCATTTTTAAATATACTAAAACCATACAGTAATTCCTATGTACACTTACAAGAATTTTCTGATAAACCCACTCATGAAGTTCATAAATGGGTTCATCTGCATATACTGGAAAGTAAACATTTTTTATATAAATTTATAAAATAATAATTATAATTTTTAAATATGTGTAAAATTTGTTTTATCAAACAAAATTTTGTTTAAGTTTTTTGAATGTTGTGAATATTCCAAAACAAATAATAGGTTTTTGTAATCTAATTCATTTAGCAATTTAAAAACAACATATAAAATCAAAAATTAAAGAATGGATCCCTGTTAATGTCTTTTCATTTAGAAATCTCAGAAATAATGCAAGATTAAAAAATCATTCAAAAAATTATAACTTATCTTACTTTTGTTCCACTGTTTCGTGGTCTTCCAAATGACACAAACCATTCCCCTCCTCTTCGACAAATATCTGGAGCAACAGCTACAGTTTCAACATTAGCAACAGTAGTAGGGCAACCAAAGACTCCTACATCAGCTGGAAACGGAGGTTTCAAACGAGGTTTACCTTGTTTACCTTCCAAGGATTCAATTAAAGCCTGATAACAGATAAAATATTCATTTAAAAAATTAACGCAATTAAAAAATGATTAAAAAATTCAATTAAACCAAAACAAATTCTTAACATCTGAGATAATCATCATCGAATATATTGAATTATTGTATTATTTATCAAACAATTTTCTTAAATACAGTATAAAAAGTTGTGCATTTTTATCAAAAATTTCATATTATTGTTATTTTATCATTTGCGTATTTAATCTTGGCATTTGATAACCTTAAATTTAATAAGGATGAAAATATTACAGATAGCAATACAAAAAAGTTTATAATAATGCATTTCTGAAATTATATATAGATTATAGATGGTCATTGTATTAAGCTAAATCATTAAGTTGATAAAAGTAATTTATCGCTAGCAACGTAAGCAAAATGCTTACTAACTGAAAGCATCCTAGACATCATAGGTTGCATTGCCATATTTTTTTCAAATAAAATGCACACCCCAACTTTTTTCATGATTTTTTGGAAAAATACTTAGATTAATCAAGTAAATATGATAATTCACAAAGGGATATATGACACCAATCAATCTTCAGTCAATTTCCATTTTAATTTTAATTCTATTATATCTAATAGATTTTTAATAGTTTTAAATATAATTTCTAGGATAAATATATAAAATGATTTTTACATAATACAAAAGTTTGAAATGAATAAAATGAAAATACATTCATTCTTTCAAAGTTAAACTATACTTAATTTATTAATAATTAAAGTAATAAAATTGTGTGTTGAAAATAGGAAAATTTTATAATTAATTAATTTGTTTATAAATAAAACCCAAAAGTATAATTAATCTTAAAAATTAATAATTAACTGTTTACACATAATTAGTTTATATGGTTAAGTTTAGGGGGTGGGGAGATAATGGGGGTCATGTGTATCTCCAGTAGGGTCAAACTTAATGAATTACAATCTTACTCATTATTAGCATTTAAAAGTTTTTATAAAAACCCATCCCTTGAAATTAAGCTATTTGCCATTTTATAATAGTTAAAAGTATAAAAATTTATTTTAATAAAATATGATAACAAATGGGATCACCAAAATTTTAAATAAACCAGCAACAAGTTGCTCAACTTTCCAGACAGGAGTTCAGCAACTCATTGATGGTTTATTTCATAAGTGAATTATTATTATTATTTCCATATCATAATTAGATAATCTGTTATTACAATTCTAATGTACTTTATTAAAATAAAAAATTTTTAGAACACTTACTGTTTCTTCTCCACAGATATAAGCCCCTGCACCACGATGTACATATACATCAAAATCATAACCTGAACCACAAGCATTCTTTCCAATTAATCCTGCATTATAAGCTTCTTGAATTGCTACTTGCATATTCGATGCTTCATTATAAAATTCTCCTCGTATATATATGTATGCTGTAAACAAGTCCATCATTGAAATTTGTCTTAAAAAGGTGTATATAATAAATTTACGTTTAACAATTATTATTATTAAGTATACAGAAAGTCAAGATAAACAAATCTTTATTTCTTAAATATTTCTTATCCAGAGTAATTTGAATATCTAACTTTAAAAATATATACTTTAAATTAGGCCTGGTCAATCCAAATTCTTTTGCGGGCCACTTTGATCATGCATAACATTACAGTGGGCCACAATTTCGGCAATCGTGCTTGTAAAAAAGTAAAACAAATACAAAATGAATAAGATTTTATTGTTATACCAAGAGTTTGTACTTGCACTTGTGCATTATAACAATGACACATGCAAGTTTTCACTTATTTAATTCTTTTGGTATACACACAACAGGAAACAAAAGTTTTAATAGATATATAATATAATATCACTTAGCAGGCCACACAATTTAACATGATGGGCCACGGGTTGGCTAGGCCTGCTTTAAATAATTCATATTTTACATACATAATTTACATTAATCTGTTATTATTATTATGAAAATGATAATTTGTAGTCCATTTTAAATTATGTATATTATTAACACTTGAAATAAAGTTAAATTTTAATCACAGTTTAACAGACAGTTTTTGAATTAGTCACTATTGATTAATTTAAACAAATATATAGTTATAGTCATAATAATTGTTTTTATTAACTAAAGAATATTTTTATTATCTTAATGAAAAATATATGTTTGAATATTCAAAAAATAATCATTTGTTTGAGCTCTAAACACAGACCAACTGCCATATAATATCAAGCTATTATTATATTATCATATATATTATAAGGCAGTTGGTGGCTTTATAGTGATGAATCAGGTTTCAGAAGATGTTTGTATTTGTTTGAGCTCATTGAACCTACATGATATTCAAAAATTTGTCTGAAGACATCTTCATTTCAGAGATAAAAATGCTTGTAACTTTGGATTTCTGTTCTGCATTGATATTGTNAAAAGAAAGTGTGCATTATAATCGAGAATATGCGATATTGTATTAATCTTTGAAATATTGGTATTAAATATATCTTACAAAATCACGACGACTCCCGTAAATCGAGTTATCCGATAAGAATAAAATACAATACTAATATAGTCCTATCGCTGAAAAAATTCGCTTCTTTTTGCTCACCTCGAGTTTTGCTTTTAGTAGAAATGGCTAAAAAGTGCGCAAAATACATACAGAAATACAGTATTACGACACCATCTGTATTGGACGACCACCTGTCTAAAAGACCACTTTTTCAAGGAACCGTGGGTGGTCTCCATAGACAGGTTTTACTGTATATAAAATTTGGACTTATATGTTTATAAATCAATAAAGATAAAATTCTGTTTTCTATTAAAATAAAGTCAAAATATTCTCTTAATATTGATTCTGAATGAATTAAAATGGTCTATATATCTTATATTTTTTCATCGTCAATAAATTCAATATATTGTTACAAATCTTATTACTAATATAAACTTACAACAATCATATTATTTTATCAAATTTCATCAGAATTCTGATACTTAACAACAATATTCACAGAAATGACTAATTTAAGAATGCACCACCATATATGTAAAAAGTATCGCAATTTAATTCTTCCATTATCTATTTTAGGACAATTTTTTTATGCTTCATAAAAATTCATAAAAAATTGCTATTCCATTGATAAAGTCATTTATATAAACTATAAATCTAGATGATTAAGTAAAAAATAGTAAATTAGATTACAATATATATAGCGGTAATGTAGCTTTAAGCATTGATTTGCTTAATTTATTAAAGCTGTTTTCAATAAATTAGGAAAAATAATCAGTTACATTTAAATTTTAAGATAATAATTCTGGTAAAATAAAAGCTTACATTTTGGGAATACAGTAGAGCATCAATTATCCGAATCAATTGGGGACTGGGGTTGTTAGGAAAATTGATTTTTTAGATAACCGATTCCGATTATCTACAAAAAAATACATTATTAATAAGTATATTAATATATCCCATGTTTAAATTTTTCTCTGTTGCGTATCGCTTCATGTTGAAATTTTGTCGACGTTAAGACTAACAAAAATTTTTATAATAATAATTGTGGCTATTGTATCATTAAAAATTATTTCTTTATTTTGTACAAATAAAATAAATACATTGAAAAATATAAAAACAAAAAAATTATACTTTAGAAGTTAATCTAGTATCAAAAATGTTTGATTCAGCACGACATAGTCCGACTGGAACGCTTTCGGTTAACCGACATTTTGGTTGATTGGCATTCAGATAATCAACGCTCTACTGTATTTAGAAAAATCCATTTTTAAATATACTAAAACCATACAGTAATTCCTATGTACACTTACAAGAATTTTCTGATAAACCCACTCATGAAGTTCATAAATGGGTTCATCTGCATATACTGGAAAGTAAACATTTTTTATATAAATTTATAAAATAATAATTATAATTTTTAAATATGTGTAAAATTTGTTTTATCAAACAAAATTTTGTTTAAGTTTTTTGAATGTTGTGAATATTCCAAAACAAATAATAGGTTTTTGTAATCTAATTCATTTAGCAATTTAAAAACAACATATAAAATCAAAAATTAAAGAATGGATCCCTGTTAATGTCTTTTCATTTAGAAATCTCAGAAATAATGCAAGATTAAAAAATCATTCAAAAAATTATAACTTATCTTACTTTTGTTCCACTGTTTCGTGGTCTTCCAAATGACACAAACCATTCTCCTCCTCTTCGACAAATATCTGGAGCAACAGCTACAGTTTCAACATTAGCAACAGTAGTAGGGCAACCAAAGACTCCTACATCAGCTGGAAACGGAGGTTTCAAACGAGGTTTACCTTGTTTACCTTCCAAGGATTCAATTAAAGCCTGATAACAGATAAAATATTCATTTAAAAAATTAACGCAATTAAAAAATGATTAAAAAATTCAATTAAACCAAAACAAATTCTTAACATCTGAGATAATCATCATCGAATATATTGAATTATTGTATTATTTATCAAACAATTTTCTTAAATACAGTATAAAAAGTTGTGCATTTTTATCAAAAATTTCATATTATTGTTATTTTATCATTTGCGTATTTAATCTTGGCATTTGATAACCTTAAATTTAATAAGGATGAAAATATTACAGATAGCAATACAAAAAAGTTTATAATAATGCATTTCTGAAATTATATATAGATTATAGATGGTCATTGTATTAAGCTAAATCATTAAGTTGATAAAAGTAATTTATCGCTAGCAACGTAAGCAAAATGCTTACTAACTGAAAGCATCCTAGACATCATAGGTTGCATTGCCATATTTTTTTCAAATAAAATGCACACCCCAACTTTTTTCATGATTTTTTGGAAAAATACTTAGATTAATCAAGTAAATATGGTAATTCACAAAGGGATATATGACACCAATCAATCTTCAGTCAATTTCCATTTTAATTTTAATTCTATTATATCTAATAGATTTTTAATAGTTTTAAATATAATTTCTAGGATAAATATATAAAATGATTTTTACATAATACAAAAGTTTGAAATGAATAAAATGAAAATACATTCATTCTTTCAAAGTTAAACTATACTTAATTTATTAATAATTAAAGTAATAAAATTGTGTGTTGAAAANTTTTTCAAAAATATAACGAAAATCTGAAATGTATGTTATTCTATAATTTTTTAAAAATATTTATGTAAAAACTAAAATACTATTGATAGTTTAATTTTAATCTAACCTAGTAAATAAAAGAAATTCAAACATTGCTAGAAGGAAAAAAAAATTAAGAAAACAATCAAAAATTTTTTTTATATGTAAACAGTTTAATTGTAAGTAATTATCAAAAAATTCTTTATGTAAAAATGCCCCTTATAATATTTTATAAATTTTAACTTAAATTTTTTATAGTACTACTGAAGAGGGTAAAACTGGTTATTTGGCTGAAATGCATATTGTAAAAAAGAAGTATAATATTGAATAAAATCTCTTTCTAAATGCAATAATTGTCCACGAGGTCACAATTGGTATGTGGTTAATGTATAAATTTGAGATCATCCCGCAATCTCAAACACACTATTTTAGATATTACATGTTAATTATTTAAAACCACCCTTCTTTGTTTCACAATTTGTTTTTGGTAACTAACACTTATAAAAAATATATTACGTACCTGCTCGAGCACCCATTGCTCTTCCAGCAACTAAACATCCTTCTATTAGTTTATGGGGATCGTGGCGCATAATTTCACGATCTTTACACGTTCCAGGTTCCCCTTCATCAGCATTAACCACCAAGTATTTTGGTCTAAAAACAAGAAGAGAAGCAATAAGTTTGCTTAAAATTAAAATAAACTTCTTATCATAAGAAAATATATCAAATTTCCAAATATAAATTTAAAAACAAAAATGTGAATACATGTAATTAAAAGAGTTCTGATAAACTGCATATAAAAAACTAAAATAAAAAACCAATTTATTAAATAAATACACATTTTTATAAAATGTTATTTCTCTATTTAAATGTTTTCTAAAATTTGTAATTCTGTCTTCAGAAAAATTTATAAGTTACAGTAGTATCTCAAGATATAAGATCATAGAACAATGTTAAAAATGTTCAGTACTCAAATTCTAAAGCAGTTATGCATAAAAAACTGATTAAAGTTATGTATATAGAAATCTTTATATTCTGTGTTTTTGAAATACGACGTTCTTAATAAATTTTTAAATCTTGCTGAATTTTATTTACACACCTTCCATCTGAAGGTTTATTCATAAAACTCCATTTCATTCCTGTTGGAAAACCAGCACCGCCTCTTCCTCTCAATCCTGATGTTTTAATTTCTTTTAAAATCCATTCTTCTCCTTTCAGTAAAATCTCTTTTGTTTTATACCAATCTCCCTAACAAATTAAAATACATACATAAAATAAATTGTAAATAAATTCTAAAATGCAATATTTGAATCAGCAAAAATATCATTGAATCATAAATAATTTAGATTTATTATACTCTCAGTTGGTGGCTTTATAGTGATGAATCAGGTTTCAGAAGATGTTTGTATTTGTTTGAGCTCATTGAACCTACATGATATTCAAAAATTTGTCTGAAGACATCTTCATTTCAGAGATAAAAATGCTTGTAACTTTGGATTTCTGTTCTGCATTGATATTGTCATAAATATGCTTTTGTAAAACATTAATTAACTAAAAATCTTCATCTACCTTTAATAAATATAAATATTTAGACTTGTCTAAGTTTCTAGTTAATTCACTTTTTTATGCATAAATTTACATTACATGTATGGCCCACTTGAAAGAATACAAAATATTAATTAAATTCATATATTTACTTCTAGATTGTTAAACTTATAAACAGCAGCTTATGATCAGAAATATTACCAACAAAAAAGGAAAGAATTCAATTAATAAAATATAAATAATATAAAAAATATTAATATAAACACTAAAATAATGTGTTTGAGATTAGGGAATGATCTCAAATTTATACATTAACCACTTACAATTGAGACCTTATGGACAATTATTGCATTTAGAAAGATGTTTTAGTCAATATCATACTTCTTTTTTACAATATGCATTTCAGCCAAATAAACAGTTTGGCCCTCTTCAGTTGTACTATAAAAAAATTTAAAATACATAAGGGTTAAAATTTATAAAATATTATAAGGAATACTTTTACATAAAGAATTTTTTGATGATTACTTACAACTAAACTGTTTACATATAAAAAACTGTATATTGCATAAACTGTACATAAAATGATAAAAATAAAAACTTTTGTATAGATGAAACCAAATCACAATTAAAATTAAGGATTAAAGAACATGAAGCTGGTATTAGGTTAAAATATAAAGAATTTCCATGGTTTACACACATCAAAGAATATAACTGTAAAATAAACAAAAATAACATTAAAATTTTATGTACAGAAAAAAATCTAATAAAAAGGAGAATTAAAGAATATCGTTTTATAAAAAAATTGAAAAAGTTTGTTAAATTTAAATGATGGACTGAAATTAGACATGCGTTGGAATTGTCATCCTGTAATAAATAGTTTCTGTAACCACAACAGCACAGTAAAAACTGCAATTCTTGTCGTGTAGTTAAAGTGTATTAGAAAGCAAAGCTGTAACGTCAATTTTGTAAAACTTGTGAAAAAATATATTTTTCAAAAATATAACGAAAATCTGAAATGTATGTTATTCTATAATTTTTTAAAAATATTTATGTAAAAACTAAAATACTATTGATAGTTTAATTTTAATCTAACCTAGTAAATAAAAGAAATTCAAACATTGCTAGAAGGAAAAAAAAATTAAGAAAACAATCAAAAATTTTTTTTATATGTAAACAGTTTAATTGTAAGTAATTATCAAAAAATTCTTTATGTAAAAATGCCCCTTATAATATTTTATAAATTTTAACTTAAATTTTTTATAGTACTACTGAAGAGGGTAAAACTGGTTATTTGGCTGAAATGCATATTGTAAAAAAGAAGTATAATATTGAATAAAATCTCTTTCTAAATGCAATAATTGTCCACGAGGTCACAATTGGTATGTGGTTAATGTATAAATTTGAGATCATCCCGCAATCTCAAACACACTATTTTAGATATTACATGTTAATTATTTAAAACCACCCTTCTTTGTTTCACAATTTGTTTTTGGTAACTAACACTTATAAAAAATATATTACGTACCTGCTCGAGCACCCATTGCTCTTCCAGCAACTAAACATCCTTCTATTAGTTTATGGGGATCGTGGCGCATAATTTCACGATCTTTACACGTTCCAGGTTCCCCTTCATCAGCATTAACCACCAAGTATTTTGGTCTAAAAACAAGAAGAGAAGCAATAAGTTTGCTTAAAATTAAAATAAACTTCTTATCATAAGAAAATATATCAAATTTCCAAATATAAATTTAAAAACAAAAATGTGAATACATGTAATTAAAAGAGTTCTGATAAACTGCATATAAAAAACTAAAATAAAAAACCAATTTATTAAATAAATACACATTTTTATAAAATGTTATTTCTCTATTTAAATGTTTTCTAAAATTTGTAATTCTGTCTTCAGAAAAATTTATAAGTTACAGTAGTATCTCAAGATATAAGATCATAGAACAATGTTAAAAATGTTCAGTACTCAAATTCTAAAGCAGTTATGCATAAAAAACTGATTAAAGTTATGTATATAGAAATCTTTATATTCTGTGTTTTTGAAATACGACGTTCTTAATAAATTTTTAAATCTTGCTGAATTTTATTTACACACCTTCCATCTGAAGGTTTATTCATAAAACTCCATTTCATTCCTGTTGGAAAACCAGCACCGCCTCTTCCTCTCAATCCTGATGTTTTAATTTCTTTTAAAATCCATTCTTCTCCTTTCAGTAAAATCTCTTTTGTTTTATACCAATCTCCCTAACAAATTAAAATACATACATAAAATAAATTGTAAATAAATTCTAAAATGCAATATTTGAATCAGCAAAAATATCATTGAATCATAAATAATTTAGATTTATTATACTCTCAATTTTAAAAGTATACAAATAAAAATTTATAGCCAGATGATCTGCCAAATTATTAGGCTATAATAATATGACTAAGTTAATAATTCAATATGAAGTAATTTGTCTAGAGATAGGTGGTTAAGTTGCCATCTCATGATATTTTCAATAATTATAATAAATTAATTTTTAATTTAAAATTTCTGGAAGAATTGGATTTATGGAGTTTTTTTATATATAAAAATTTATATCAAATATTATAAAAAATGTATTTTAAATTAGAAGAATGAATCGATACGAGTGACAATGGCTACTTCTTGTGTAAATGGCATCAAAGATGTAGAAAATTAAAAATATGTTCACTTATTAGACATTAATATTTTACATTATTTATTATAATTAATGAATTAAGAAAATTGGAAAAATATAAAAAATGTACTAGTACCAGGACACTGCTCCTTCTCAAAGACAAAAGATTTAAAATTACTTTGAAAGTTTTAATGGAAGTTTCCTAAATGATGTAAAAATCTTTTTAAACTATTATTTTTGTAGCAATATGATTTTTATGAATGAAATAAATAAGATTATTTAGCATTAGTACAGTAAGTAGTTTAGTAGTTTAATAGTAAAAATTTATCAGTATTAATCTAATCTGTTAAATGTGTCAATTGTAAAGGCACAGCTTTTCATCTTTTTATCTATTGATCTAACAAATTTATTTCAGATTTCAATATCATTCTTACTGATTTGCTATGGATTTGAGCAATGTCATGTTAGCATGATAAAAATTTTCTTAAAACTAAAGTGTAGTTCTACTGTAATGTAAAAAAAAAATATTGTTTTTTAATGGAATAATTAATACTAAACATGAAAAATGTTCAAGTGCTTTTGAGCTTAACAGTTCATCTTTAGAGCACTGTTCTATTGCTATGAAAGCACAAAATTGAGAAAAATTCTAATCTTAATAATAATGACTTCACTAGGGTTGGCTAGGCCTGCTTTAAATAATTCATATTTTACATACATAATTTACATTAATCTGTTATTATTATTATGAAAATGATAATTTGTAGTCCATTTTAAATTATGTATATTATTAACACTTGAAATAAAGTTAAATTTTAATCACAGTTTAACAGACNAGGTCCTTGCAGCTAGTTAAGAAAAAAATCAAAAGATTACATAAATGTATTGAAAATTTTACATTAAAAAATAATTAATAAAACAAACAATGTAACATTGTGTAACGACGTGTAAACAGTAAGTTTGTGAACTATTTCTAAGGTGTTACCAGATTATCTGAGTCATGCTTGTTAACAACCAAGTTAAATTTTAAACTTCTCTCATAAATCCAAATAGATGCCATTCAAATATTATCTCTCAATTTTCTCCACTTGATCTCAGGATCCAATGAGATTTAAATCTAGGTTTAGTTCTAAGATGTGTTGTATCTACAGAGGAGGCTATATCTACACTGTTCCATAATTCTCTCCCCAATGTTTCAAACTCTTACACCTATAAATTCTGACTGTGTACCATCTCATATTCCTTTGAGTTTTATTGTACTTCTACAGGCAATTAGTTTTATACTTTGTATACATCTTTGCTTATGCACTCTCTAGGAATGCAACCGCAAGTAAATTATGATTTTACTACATTTAAATATATATTATATACAATGTAATTATTACAAATAAATTAATCAATTAAAATATTTTATGTAGAATATTAAATAAAAACTATATGATATTTCTTAACTAACTCTGCTTAATGCTCCTTTAAGCTTCCAATCATGACGTCCATACAAATTTGTGAATATTCTATCTTCATCTTTCAAAGGTCCAAATTTAGTCTAAACCATGTAAAAAAAAAAAAAAACAGGGTTATATGTTACCTAATGTACTTTATTAAA